GGATGGCACGGCCGGAGGCCATGACTATGCTGAGTCCCGGTGGGCAGCCGATGGCCTTCTGGCTGGCGGTAAGCACGACGTCGAGGTCCCACGCATCAAAGGCAAGCTCCTCGGCGCCGACGCTGCAGACGCCATCGACGACGACGAGCGTATCTGGGCTGACGCGGCGGGCCAGGGCAGCGATCGACTTGATATCTGCGAGGACGCCGGTGGAGGTGTCGACGTGGGTGACGGTAAGGAGTTTGTAGGATTTTGCAGCCAGGGCTTTCTCAATCTGGCCGAGGGAGGGTTGTTCGCCAACGGGTGCCTTGAGTTGGGTGACTTTAGCACCGTAGGTTTCAAGGCAGTCGGCAAAGGAATCGCCGAAGTAGCCGGTGTGCAGGACGAGGGCTTCTTCTTCGCGCTCGATCAGGTTCGCGGATACAAGGTCCCAGCCCAATGTGCCACTGCCGGCGATGAGGAAAGGCTGGGAGGCTGGGGATGTAGTTTGGAAGAGGCTGCGTAGGAGGGTGAGGCATTCACCGAAAGTCTTTACGAAGGCGGGGCCGACGTGGCTCTCACTGTGCTTGGGTAGAACGTGGTTTATTCGGTTAGTTTGAACAGAGAAATTGGGACCGGACAATGGGGAACGCGTTACAGTGGGAACGGCACTTACGCATAATGGGACATAGAATGAAGAACCGCATCGTCGAATTCAATGGGGCCTGGGATTAGGAGCGTAGAGTGATGCTCTTGGGTGGACATTTTCTCCCGGGGTTCGTTGTGGTTGCTTGTGGGAGCAGCAGTATTTTTGAGATTGGGTGGCGGGGTTCGCTGGAGGGGTTTATATTCAATGTCGTCAGGCTCGACAGACACAGTCCTCTCGGTCGAAAATGGGGTGTTCAAAGCCGGTAGGGGGAGTCTCTGATCAAGATGTCGAGAGATCAGGCTCAGGCGCGGGTTTGCCCGTGAGGGAGCCAGGACGATTTCTCCACTTCCGAACCTGAGCCGGGCCACAGCTCGAAATGCCGAGAGGGAAAGGCTATTAAGCATATGCTTTTCGAGTATTTCCTTGCTTTCTTGCAGCAAATCTGCCGATGACGTGGATGCTGTAACGATTGTGTGTTTCTGGATGGTGGGGAGGAATACAGTTAGCAGCAATTGTAGTCGTAGATGATAATGAGATATGGAAATTGTCGACCGAGAAGGGGAGCCGATTTAATATACCCGAATACGGTTAAATAATCCCGTCCAGAAGACTTCTGGCCTTGTCTTTTTTTTTTGCTTTGCCTTTATTTTCTGTTAGCGACCCAGAAAACTGTTAGCTGCTGGTAGGGCTAGTATTTACTCTTATGGTGCAGCCCGCAGCATATTTACCAGTTGGACTGTTTGTCCGTTTATATCTAAGGCAGTTTATATCAGAAAAATGTTAAAGTGCAAGTATAAAATACCTACCATACCACCCTCATGTTTAACTCCGCGTGCAGGCATCAACTACCATTTTCTACTATCTACTGTATGCAGTATCTTCAAAATACTAGTAATTCCCAGATAAAGCCATCCCAACAGGTTGCCATTAATTGAGATATCGGCCCAAAAAAAGGGCATATCGCTGGCCGTTGACGTTGGAGAATCCCGTGCACATCGCGAACTACTAGCATAAAGAGGCAACCATTGAAAGGCAGTGCGGCAAAGGCATGATTAGGCATTTTATTAGGGATTTGTGGCAGTACGGGCAATAAATTGGCTGTCAAGCAGTCAGCCAGACAGCTGTCGATTATAAACATAATGCCCTAGTATCTGCCTAGGGTATTATAGAGGTGTCATGACAGCGCGCTCTCGGTCGAGAAGATCAGCACGTAACTAACTGTACGGTGAAGCTGCCTCAGCAAACGAATGACCAATTCGTCCACAGGATTGGCTAATTCCATCCGTCTCTTAAGCCGTCAGTGCCCAGTAGCTACGAGTACTGACGAGTCTGTATGGGAGACAAACGGCTGTATAAGTGTCCCGGGGTCAGAATGCCCCAAAATAGAATTTCGCCAGTTAGGGCTGAGGCGGTTAAAGCGCTAAACCATCCATTTCTGTTCCTGTTAATAGCCGCCATAGCCGCAGGGCACCAGCAGCGCCAAACATCGAAACCAGGCAGAACAGAACACGGGGAGAGGACGACGACGAGGACGAAGAAGAAGTAGCCTATCCATCTCACATTTAGATTTCATGGGATGGGTAGTTGAAGCTGCCACAAGTATGACCTCCCGTCTGGTCCTGGCCATCGGCGACCTCTTCGTCCCTGACCGCACTCCGGTACGCTGAATCTCCGCTTCTAGCATATAGTATCTCCAAGTTACCATCACTTCACCCACTCCATTGCTTTGACTGCTTGGTGGAGGAAAAGGGAAAAAACTCAATTCCTATACTAACATCCATTGTGCAATAATGATAACAATAATAGGATATTCCAGCAAAGGTTCGCACCAAACAATTTCCCCGCGATTTCTCCCTGTGTCCCTTCCCTTGCCCCGCCATAGAAAACAAACACTAAAATCAATACAGTTCAAAAAACTCCTCACTCCGGGTAAAATCGGCCAAATCCTCTGTCTCGGCAACCTCACTGACCGCGACACCTTCGAATTCCTCCGCCAAATCGCCCCAGACCTCCAACTGGTCAAGGGCGACTTCGATGTCGACTCGGCCCAATCTCCCTCTCTCCAAAGTCGTTACCCATGGCAGCCTGCGTATCGGGCTTTACCCATGGGC